CAGGGGTCCCCAGGGGAATCTGTCTGTGGATACGGACAGGGGAGGACCGGAGTACATGTCCTGGGGTCACCAAGCCATGGTCATGACCACAGCCCACTGGGACAGTGCCCCAGGGCTCAGCTGCTCCCCCAGCACTCCTCACCATCACATTCAGGGGGGTCACTCCAGACACCTGGTGAGCGGCAGACGCGAGTGTGGTTGTGCTGGCTGAGGGTGTAGCCCAGCTCACAGTGGTATTCAGCCAGCGAGCCCAGCTTGGTGGAGTTGAAAGAGACCTGGGCATGCTTCACCTCACTGGGAATGCCACAGTCAACCACTGGGGAGAGATGGGGGTGTTGAGCAGGACCTGCAGAGGCACCTTGAGCCACCTGACTGGCAGGGGCAGCACAAAGCCCTTACCAGTCTGGCAGTGCTTCCCTACATAGCCCATGGGGCACGTGCAAGCGTAGCCCTCACCAACATCCTCACAGGTAGCACCGTTCTCACAGGGGCTAAGGAAGCACGGGGAGGGCACTAGAAGAAGAGCAAAGAGTGACTGCTGCAGAGCTGGCAGAGCCCAGAAACCAGAGCCATCCTCTTTCCCCCCTTCACCAGGGTGCAAGGGAGATTCAAAGTGCTTCAAATTACAGGAAAGGGGATTCAGAGCAAGCAGCAAGGCTTGCTTGTTGCTGCTGTGGCTGTTGGCTCTGTTAACACCCCACCACCTCCCAAGCTTCCGCTGGCACTAGCACGCCCTGCTCACACCTACCAATCTCGCAGTGCCGGCCAGCGTAGCCTGGGGGACAGTCGCACTTGTACTTGCCAATGTAGTGGAAGCAGGTGCCCCCATTCTGGCAGGGCCCCGAGGCACAGGGGTCCGGCTTACCTGGGGGCAGAGGGCAGGTGGGAGGTGAGCAGTGAGCGGGACGACTGCCTCGCATCCCCAGGCAGGGATCAGGGGGCCGTACCGATCTCGCAGTGCTTCCCGGTGAAGCGGTAGGGGCAGGAGCAGGGGTACTCGCCATCCGCCGCCCTGCAGGTGCCCCCGTTGCGACAGGGTCCCGTGCTGCAGAGCCGTGGCTTGGCTGCAGAGAGCACCAAGAGCAAGGGGTGACCCACTGCTGCCCACATTCCAAAGGCCACTGCCTCCTGCCAGCACCCCACTAAACCCCTCGCTGTGAGAACACCAAGTGCACCCAGGCCTCACCAAGACCGCAGAACAACCCCGTGCAGAACTAGATTATCTTAAGGTCCTTTCCAGCCCTAACCATTCTATGATTCTATGTGCCAGGACCTCAGGAGGCCATGGGAACATGATGCCAGGGCACTGGTAGCTGCTCCTGAGGCCCAAAGCTCAAGCATGAAAAAAACCTCCAACACTGATGGTGCTGTGCAGGAAACAAAACAATTGGATCAGCTGCTGTGACTGTCAGGCCATGAAAACAGCCATGCAATCCTCCCTCCTCCTGTGGGGTGGGATACCCTGTGCCCACTTCCAGCTGCAGCTCAGCAAGCAGCCACTCTTCTCCCACCTGCTGCCAGATCCTTGGGCCAGGAGGGAGTTCCATGCAGGTACCTTTCTCACAGTGCTTGCCAAGGAAGCCTCGAGGACACTCGCAGGTGTATGAGTCGTCATGAACCTCACAGGACCCCCCATTCAGGCAGGGCTCTGAGTCACAGGGGGATGGCATTGCTGCAAAGCCAAACACAGAGCATCCATGAGGATGTAGGACCAGGGGTGTGAGGGCTGCTCCTCAGCTGATGACAGTATCCCCTGCTCACACTCCCCCATCCATGTCCCTTCCTGGGGCTGATCTCACATCCCCACAGATGAGACTCACTGTGGTTGGTGCCGTAGTCAGTGTGGCAGACGCAGAGGTAGCTCCCACCATACTCCATGCAGTACCCGCCGTCTGGGCACTGCGTGTTCATGTTGCATGGGGTGGTGGTGACTTCTGCAAACACACGGCCAGCACCAGCCTCCATCAGCTGGTGGCAGGAGGACACCCAGCCGGCTGCCTGGCCAGAAATGGGGGGTGTCTCCTAACTTTGCCAGGTCTGAAGAGATGGGAAGGACTCTCTGTACCCCTCTACAGACCAACAGCAAGGGCAAGCCCGGATGCCCAGTGAGATTCAGAGTGGGAGCACACTAAGACTGTGGTTCCCATCCCACCCAGGAAAGCCGGGCTGGGGCAAGGGGCTGGGAGAGGCACAGCTCAAGGGGGAGTGATGGAGATGGAAGTGTTGCCTCCTCACCAGGGGACAATGTTTCTAGGCTCAAATTCAAGGCATGCCCCTGGCACCATGCTAGGCTCAGGCATGGCAGAGTTTCTCCTTGTTTTCCCACAGCCTGCCTGGCTCAAGCATCCTGGAGAGGGAGCAAACGCAGCAAGTGGGAAGCCTTCACCTACCGAATTCACAGAGGAGACCAAAAAACCCAGGCAGGCACTGACAGATGGTGACATTCCCCTCCAGACAACTGCCTCCATTGCGACACTCGCAGCCCTCTGAGAGCTCTGCAAGAGAGAATATGGGAGCTTCCCAGGACCCCTCTCCCTTGTGGGGCTGCAACAGCCAAGCAGCCTAGCTGGATGCCACCCATGGGGGAAGCTCAGGTGGGTGGCAGTCCCCGCAGACACCCAGGCACAGCCTCCTTCAGCGGGATGGACCCACTGTTCAATCCAGGAGCCCCAGACAGGCTCCCAGGGGCTGCTGCTTCTCCCTCTCAGGAACGTGAGATGCCAAACCCCACTGGAGAAACATCCCCTCCTACTCACTGTCTCGACAGTCCTGTCCAGTGTAGCCCTCCTGGCACTCGCAGAGGTAGCCCTGCTCCGTCTCCAGGCAGCTGCCCGCATTCTGGCAGGGCTGGGAGAGGCAGGCGCCAGGCACGCGGGGCCCGCCTGCAAGGAAGGGGGAGGCTGAGCTAGAGCCATCCCAGCGTGGGGCTGGAACATGCTCTGTCCCAGAGGAGCCGGTGCAGAACTGGTCCACACCAGAGACCCCACCACAGCCGAGCAGCCCCACTGGAAGGAGTTTCCTCCCGGCAGGACAACAACCCCTGTACACATAGAATCATAGAATCATCTAGGTTGGAAAAGACCTTTAAGATCATCAGGTCTAACCTTTACCCCAGGACTGCCAAGTCCACCACTAAACCATGTCACTAAGGGCCTCTTCTACATGTTTTTTGAACGTTTCCAGGGACGGTGATTCCACCACTTCCCTGAGCAGCCTGTTCACCCTTTCAGTGAAGAAATTTTTCCATTCTGTAAGTCATATGCTGCCTGCCAGCTTTCTGCAATGCCTCCAGCTGATGCAGCCCCTTTTCAGCAATTTGCCCTTCCTGCCTAGCTTCCCCAGAACCAGCTCCCATGGCAGGCTGGGCAAGGTGCACCTCTGCTCACCGTACTGGCAGTTGTTGCCATAATAACCCGGGGAGCACGTGCAGATGTAGCGACCCGGGCGGATGTAGTTGCACGTCTGTCGGTTCCGGCAGCTCCGGTCCTCACAAGAAGATGAGTCTGGTCAGGGGGGAACTGAGTGAGCGATGAGCAGAGCCCAGCCCTGGGAAAAGGGCCGTGATGGCCCAGCTGAGAACCAGGGACACAGTCCCTGGCATGGGTCATCCTGTAGTGCAGGCAGGAGCAGGCACCTGTCTCGCAGCGTTGTCCCACGAAGGGCTCCAGGCACATACAGGTGTAGTTATTGACCAGGTCGACACAGTGCCCACCGTTCAGGCACGGGCTGGACTCACACTCATTCAGCTCTGCAAAGGGGAGGCCAGGAGGGGCAGTCAGGCTGTGCGCAGGCACGGCCACTTCATCCTCTACCTCCTGTCCTGAGCACTCCCCTCCCAAAACTCCAGCTGGGGCTGAAGCATGGTGAGAAAGCAGCTTGCCAAGGTATGAGGTGTCCCCATTTTCCCCCTATACCACAGACCTGTCTGGCAGTCTGCCCCCATGTATCCTGGCTGGCACAAGCACACTGCTGTCCCATTCACTGCCTGGCACGTCCCGCCATTGTGGCACACTCTGTTCTCACATGGCAGCTCTTCTGCAGGGAGACACCAAGAAAAGAAAAGAAAAGAAAAGAGGGGGAATCAACCCAGGCACAGCATTGCCACATGCCTCTGTGCACACAGCGACAGGACTGGCACATGCCTCTGCACACACAGCGATGCTGGGATTGGGCAGATAGTATAGCTTGGAGCCACCAGTGCATCCTCTGGCAAGAGACAGTGGCCATGTCCCAGCCCAGGCTTGTCTCAAAACCTTTGGGCAGTTCAGCCATTCCATCCCCCTGCACCTCCTGGATGCCAGCATGATGTGCTGGGAATTCCTCCCTCCCTTCCCTGAAAGTTAACTCCCTGCTCGCCTTCTCCACCGGTGCAGAGGCTTGCTGGGAGCCAAACATTTTGGCGGCACTTCCTCAGGGGGGTGGAGGCCAGCAGCAGGGGCAACCGGCCACCACGGCCCTGCCAGGAACTGGGAGAGTCCCCAGTGGCTTCAGAGGGCTCAGGACCACAGCACCACCTGCGAAAGCAGGGCTCCCAAGATTTCTGTTTAAGCGCTAACCACCAGCTTTTCTCACTGAAGGAGCGGTGGGCGGCAAGGAGAGGTGCTGGCAGCAGCACTGAGCCAAGCCCTCAGCAATGTGCGCTGCCAGGGGCAGGAAGGGCTTGCGGCCAGAGCAAAGCTTCCTTTGCCTGCAGCATGCTGAAAATCCAACCTGGCTGTTACAAACTGCTCGAGCCCAGCAGCTGCTGCAGGATCCCTGGTCTAAAGAGTGCTCCCAAGAGCAGCAGTGCCCCCCAAGCCTGGGTCTCAGCTCTTCAAGCACAGCAAAGAGCCAGCCCTGCCGAGCTGGTGGCCCTGTGCTCACCGGTCTCACAGTTGGCACCTCTGAAGCCCAGGGGGCACAGGCAGCTGAAGTTGCCAGCACCATTGAGGCAGGTGGCTCCATTCTGACATGGGTTGGAGAGACACTCGTCCACATCTGAAACAGAGCCCCACGTGGGGCAGGAGCTCAGGGCAGGGACACAGAGACTGCCAGCACACAGCGGTGACACCAGGAATGAGACCTGCTCCCTGTGGCAAAGCACTGGGAGCTCACTCAGGGCCACACTCACCAACATGGCACCTCTTCCCAGTAAAGCCGGCCAGGCAGGAGCAGGTGTAGGAGGGGTTGCCTGTGATGCAGTCCTCAATACACTTCCCCCCATTCAGGCAGGGCCGCAGCGTGAGGCAGACAGAGGCTGTGGGGACAAGCAGTGGCCCCGCGTCAGCCAGCATCCTGGCACAGCTCACCCGCCGCCTTCCAGCCACGCCAGCACCAGGGGCTGTCCCTGCACCCACCCAGCTCCCTGAAGTGCTCAGGGAGCCCACAGTGGCTGCCTGCTTCACAGCAGGGCAGGGTCCACTCCTCATGGGCTCCCCTGGGACAGGGGGAGCAGTTTTAATTCCTCCCATGAGAGGGGAAAAGGCTGCACAGGGTCACCCCTCAGGGTGGAGGGATATGGACATGCCCTTTCTTATCACCCAGGGCAGAGAGAAAAGGGTATGGGAGAGCCCATCTACAGCAAACCCACTGGTAATGTGAGACACACAGAGACCACGCGTGGGAAAAGGGATGTGTCAGGACCCCTGGGGTGGAGAGCATGGCCCAGCGCTCGTGCCCCAGCCCCGTGGGGGAGGCAAAAAAAAAACATGGCTTGCCCCAGCCTCCTGGGTCTCACAGAGGTGTGCATCCCCCAAGGGTGCCAGCCCCCCATGCCCTGCTCTGCCTGCAGCAGGCTGGCAGGGTTGCATCGTGTGCTGCCACCTCCTCCCCAGCCTCCCTTATCGCTCCCCGCAAGCTTTTTTCATCTCAAAAGTCTTCCTCCCCTCCCCATTTGCTCTCCCAGCCCTTCCCAGTCCCAGGGCACACAGGTCTCACAGAGGTGTGCATCCCCCAAGGGTGCCAGCCCCCCATGCCCTGCTCTGCCTGCAGCAGGCTGGCAGGGTTGCATCGTGTGCTGCCACCTCCTCCCCAGCCTCCCTTATCGCTCCCCGCAAGCTTTTTTCATCTCAAAAGTCTTCCTCCCCTCCCCATTTGCTCTCCCAGCCCTTCCCAGTCCCAGGGCACACATGGGTGCCATCCCCAGCCATGGCAGGTGCTGAGGAGGGTCCCACCCATGGCTGCCTCCCCTCCCTCCCCAAGTACTTTGAGCCGACTCCTCCACCCCGCAGAGGTGGGGGTTGAGGCAAGGAAAAGACAGGGCTGGAGAACAGTGTGGGATTGGGTTGGGAGTTAAATAAACCTAACTGCTGTCCTCTTACTTGTATTGCTGCAGCCCCCCACTTGCACCTGGGCATCATCGATTCTGAACACCCAGCGCCCGGGGATACCCACATTTGTCGTCATCTCCACGTCAGCGATGTCATCGGTGCGGGATCCAGGGATGTTGAAGTAGCGCTTTCCATCACCAGCGTTAAAACCTGCCTGGGAGGACAAGGGCAGAGGGTAAAGAGACATCACCAGTGCAAAGGGGAAGGCAGCTGGAGCACAAGGGCTTGTTTTCCTGCCACTCAACACCGCCAGCAGCAGTGCTCGGACTGGCTGACCCCTTCCACACAGCACCAGCCAGCATTCAGCCCTGCCCATGTGCCAGGATGACAGCCAGCACAATAGGGCAAAGCAGCCACCTTGCCCGCTTGGACCCTCCCCTGGGATTCAAAACCCATCCGCTTCCTCTCCACCTGCAGCATCCTGCCTGCTGCAGGCTGGTGGGCAGGGAGCCAAGCACGGATCAACTGCCGGTAAATTCACACATCCGAACGGGTACTGGGGGTTTTGTGGGTGGGGGATTATTTTTTTTCGCCTTAAACACAACAACGAACACAAGGATAAAATATAAATACAAGTGAAAGCTGTGCTGGCTGTGGCAGCTGCTCTTAAAGGCTGTGGTTAGGAAGGAAAAGGGACTACAAGGCAGCAGCCAAGGCAAAGACCTGTGGTTTCAGAATTACAAAGCCCCCTGTATGGTCTCAGCTTTGGAAGCCAGAGCACACACGGATATTCAACAACTTAAAAAAAAAGAAAAAATGGCAGAGGGAGGCTTTCCACCTCCAAAAAACCCAAAACAGGAGCCGCAAGCTTGCGGGGTGGATGTGCTACTTGGGCGCCCTGGGGCCATGTTCGCCGCTTACCTGTGCTGCAATGCCGCCGAGCCCGGCAAAGTCCCCCCCACTGCTGGCGTGCATACCCGTGGTCCAGGTGATGGACTCATAGTTGAAGATGGTGAAGGAGAGCTTGCCGTCCGTGATGAGGACAATCTGGAAAGTGTTTACCTGCAGCAGGAAGGAGAAGAGCAGTTAGCAGACAGGAGCGGGGCAGGCAAACCAGTCAGAAAATAATAAGATGATGGAAAAAGCATTTAGCAAAGGGGTGTTTCTAAGAGCCCCAGTCCTCCTCAGCTAGAAAAGTCAGTTAGGTTTAATTATTTTTAACCCTAAGGTGTTGTGATTCCCCTGCTGAGCACCCCAGCCAGCAGGAACAGGAAAAATGTGCGGAAATGTGGTTATCAGGCTTCTGGATGAAAAGGCACCAAACCCCGTCTGCGACCAGCTCCTGGTGCCCTAAAAGGGGGACGCTCTCAATTTGCAGCCTTCAGGTGACACAGAGAGGAAGGTTTGGTTTTGCCAGCCCAGCACTGCTCCATTATGTCAAAGCATCATCAGGGAGCTGCTGGGGTTGGCTTAGCCCTGCTGGCAAGAGCACCACTGCCATGGAAAGCATCAAAGCTCCATTGGGATGCTCCATTTAAAGAAACTCTACCCATAAACTCATGGTTCCTTTGCACCAGCTACTCACCGGTGAAAATGAGTTGCCCCCGAAGAAGGTCACTCGGTACCAGGTGGCAATGAAGACCCACCGCGCAGAAAACCCTGGGAACTCAGGGAAATACTGTGCTATGTCCCTGCTCGCTCTCTCCAGGATGGACTGCTCCGTGCTCTCCCGGTAGTACACATCGCCTGCCCGACGGTTATCCACATCTGCCCAGAAAGCGGCCACCACACGACGGTCCTTGGAGATGGGGAAGGCCACTGGTGTGAACTGGGAAACCTCCTTCAGGAATGAGATGATCCCATTATTGTTCACCTGGGGAGAGGGAAGGAAAGAAATGGGTGGCCATGGTTGATTCCTGCCAGTGGAATGTATTAAAGGCACTTTCCATTTCACCTTTCTTCCCGTCACCCCACCCCCCTTTTCCACAAATATTGGAGAGCTTCCCCTTCCTGCCCTTGGAAGCAGAGTTCTGCCCCGGCGTCCGCAGCCCCCCGCTTGCTGGAGTGTGGCTACAGGGAGGCAGCCACCCGAACAAACCAGCCCTGTTCTCCACCGTGGCCAGGCCAGGGGAGGGGGGAAACAGCTGAGAAAACTGCAGCAGCCCCAGCGCTTTAAACAAACAGCGCTCGGTGTGCTCGGCCAGCTCACAGCAGCACTCATGGTGGGGACAAGGAGCTGCCTTGCCTGTTCCCTGCTCTCTAAGGGCTGACACACAGCCTGCAGGGATGGGGTCTCGGGCTCAGCACTGTTGCCACCCTCCTTGCCAGGGGTCACCAGTCTGGGGTGGGGGGGAGCCGTGCGGGTCAGTAATCCATCTGCTGGCATGTGTGGCACTGGGTGAGCAAGTGGGCTCCAGGCAATCAAGTGCATCCGATGCAAAGCCCCTAGTGCAGGCTGCTCTTGTTAAAGCAGGGGATGCCAGACACCCCAGTGCAAGAGCGCGAGATGTCCCTGCTCATGGCAGGGTGGTTAGAACTAGATGATCTTGAGGTCTTTTCCAACCCAAACCATTCTATGATTCTAAGATACTGAAAGCTCCAAGCCCTTCCCCAGCAGTAATTGACTGGGATAATTAGGATGCTGGGATGCCTAGCCTAGGGATGCATGGCAGAGGCAGCCCTGAGCTCAGGGAGGGAAGGTGGAGGTACTGGATGTTGCTACCTAGATACTGCTTGGGGATACAGCAGGAGCAAGGAAGGGAAAACTGCCTGCCTGCATTGCTGCCTGAGCAGGCAGGGAGGGAGCAAGGATCAAAGGGAAACACTCTTGCCCTCAGGCCCCAAATTCCTGGGAGGAGACCTTGCCAGCAGTGGCAACCACAGCGGGGCCGGCAGCTCCTAGCTGCTCCTTTCCCCTGCCCAGGGTGCTGCCCGTAAGTAACAGCAGCACAGGCAGGAGCACAGTCCCCCAGCTGAGCTCCCCAGCATGCACCACCGGCGCCAGCAACACCGACCCGGCAATCCCCTGGTCTGAAGGCTGAGAAAGGGGGCGGTCACAGAGTGGGCAAGAGGCCCTTGAGCAGAGAGAGCAGCCCTGGCATGCAGCAGGCAGTAGTGTCACGCTCGCGTGTTGACAAGGAGTTGGGAGCCAGTGTCCTGCCAGAAGCCATGCTGAAGCCAGCATGCCACCGGGCAGGGGCAGGCTGGGATGGCATCATGCAGCCCCTGGGAAGGTCTCCAGCCTCTCCATGTGAGCATAGGGCAGTCCTTGCTGTGACTAAGGGGAAGAGGATTCCTGTTTCCCAAAGCCTCCGTAACCCCACGGTGTCCGCGGAGGAACATTCTTCCCCTGATTAAAGCAAGATGGGAGAGAGCTGGAGCCAAGAAGGGCTTTTTTTTGTTGTTGTTGCTGGTTTTTGCAAAGGAGGAGGGGATAGTTGGAGGCAGCCCTTAAGGACAGAGGTTTCCAGGTGAGCACAGTACCAGGCCAGTTTCCTCAGGATAGAAGCTCCTTGGGGAAGAATAGCCCTGTCACACAGGCCCCATGCCCAGTAAGCTGGCCCTGCAGAGCCAGGGGGTCTTGGTTCAGGGGAGGCGGACACACTGCCCTCTGAGCCCTTCATCCCCTCCAAGTCCCAGAGCAACACTTAGACCCTGTATGGGACAGCCATCACTTCACCTGGTTTCTCCCAGACTTTTTTTCCCTTCCACTGTGGCTCAAGCCCCAAGCCCAGGTCCCTCCCACCCGATGGCAGGGCTAATGCCTTTATTAGTGGAAAAAACCAAACCACCACCAGTAGGGACCAAGGACCTCCCGTGCTTAGCCAAGATGGTGGGACAGTACACAAGCCCAGATAAAGGTGATGCTCAGCCCCTCCTCAGCCAGCTGGATCCAGACTACCAGTCAGCCCAGAGCAAACCATGGAGAAGAGAAGGTACCAGGATGCCAGAGGATTCACTACTCCAGGTGGGAGCTGGCGTAGGGAGCACAGCCCCCACTCCATGACACAAGGCAGACATTTGGAACCGGTGCTGTCCAAAAGGCTCCAGGGACAACCTGGAGCTGATGGCCACAGCCGTAGGGGACATGATGAGCCAGGCGTGACAACCTCTCTGGCCACTGTCCCCTCCAGGTGGGTCAGGGGCTGCAAGGGAGCACATCAGCAGAGCTCCAAGCAGCGTGTCCACCCCACTGGGCACAGGGAGCAGAGGAAAGGGAGCAAGATGTGCTGAGTGGCCAGCTAAGTCCCGCTGCAATACAACTCAAAGGGCAGCTGTATATTCTGCATTGCACTAGGGGCCCTGCCATCACCTCCTCCCAGCAAGGGCCACAGCACACTGGCTCTTGCCCCACGGGATCTCCCGTGCCCTCAGCACGCCTTTATTCCTCTGATACTCCAAGTTAAAATGGGACCACCCAATGGCTCCCCATGGAAACTCAGATGCACTTGGATCAACCCGAGTGGGACAGTGAGGAAATAAAAGGAAATAAAAGGAGGAAATAGGAGGCCCCG